GCTCAATTACGTGAAGCCGGACAACTTGAACATTGACGAATGGATATATGATGATGGTTTCTGGAGTAGGTTGCTAAAGAGTAGGACGGCTATTTGCTTAGTGTTGATAAAGAAGAAATACTTGCTGGAATGTCACAATTGGACACGTGTGGACAGAGTGCGCTTGGTGTACTTGTGTGTTATTGCGAGTTTGTTAGTTGTGAATGATGAGAATGTTGCTATACCACACTCCTACATCAAACTGGTGATGGACATTAGGAAGCTACGGGTTTATCCATGGGGTCTAGACTCATTTGACCATCTTGTGTCATCGATCAAGGCAACGAGGGTCAAACTAACGCAGCCTTTGAGCTATCCTCTGCATGTTTCTCATATGCTTTGCAGATTTGGATTATGGAAGCCATTTCTGATCTTGGTGATATGTTGGCCCGTAAACTCAAGAAGGATGGCATTGTGTTTCCGAGATGTTCAAATTGGTCAGAAATTGCAAAGATATCATATCAACAAATCAACTTTATAGAGTCATCCTTTGGTTTTCAGGTGACTTTTCTTGTCTATGTTTTCTTTTTACATATCATCTTTCCATTTATCTATTGCAAAAGTGTTTTTAGTCTTGGTTTTTGCTTTTATGATAGCAAATTGTATATAGTATATCATTTTGATACTAATCTTAGTCACTTCTTTAGCTCTTACAAAGCAATGAACATATGACTTGATTAGGAAACACACATTGAGGATTTGGTATGTATATATCTGAGTTTTATTAGTCTTTTACTATCAACTCATTAGCTTCATGTTTCATTTTGAGAACAATAACAGTTAAATCAACTCATTAGCTTACCATATACTTATCAACCATCATTTTTAAGTTTAATGATTTCTTTCTATAAATAATACATTGACATATCATTTGTATTGCATATAACTATATGTTAGATAATAATAGATACATTTTTTGTGTATTTGGGTTTTAAATGTATTTATCTAAGTCATATATCTTTGGAAATTCTAGTATTTTTTTGTTTGTTAGCACACGTACATATATTGTATATCATTTTGCTTTCAGATTTTTGTTTCTATAATTGAGGAATTATATATACATTTGCAGTTTATTCATCAACTACAAAGACTTACATATATTAACTAAGTTTGCTTTTATGATTGCAAATTGTATATAGTATATCATTTTGATATATCTTAGTCATATTGACTTTCTTGTAGGTTGTTCTGTATCCATACATCTCTTCCACTGGAAATTTCGATTTAATTGAGGGTGTTGAGTTCAGACTGACCGACGAAATGAGAGATGAACAAGTTGATTGCATTAAGAGTTGTATTAAATCGAGAAAAGACTGGAGTGACCATATATGGCAAGTTACAGAATCTCCTAAGCCTTTGAAGCTGAATGTGGTAGAGGAGGTAGACATGGAGAACGAGAACGAGGCTGTTGGTGATGTTGCTACTCCAAACGTGCAAGACACGCCTGCTTCCAGTTCGAGGCGTGTTAAGAACAAGTTTTCTGATAATGGAGCAGAGGAAAGGAAGCACAAACTGTTGTGCCTAAGAGCTTCAGAAAAATCAGTTACTATCAACGAAGAGATGAAGTCTTTTATTCAAGGTCTCTTTCAATCTTCTTTCACTTCTCTAGAGAAGTTTAAGACATAAATTGATGTTCGATTTGATAAGATGGAAAGCGAGATTACAAGTCTCAGGCATGAAGTTCGTGAAGCTACATCATCAAGAACCATTGGAGAACCATCTACTACTGCTACCAAACCATCTAAGGAGAAGGTGAATATCCGTGTGCAGCCACAACAAAAGGTAAACACGAAAACAAAGTAAAACCCGGCTATATATGTATCTCTTTAAAACCGGCTATGTAAAATATGTGTCTAATTAGCTATGTTTCTCTTTAAAACCGGCTATGTAAAATTTATGTCTAATTGTCTGTGTTTCTCTTTAAAACTGGATATGTAAAATATGTGTAATTGTCTGTGGCACTCAACAAGAACGGTTATGTAAAATGTGTTTCTAATTGTCTATGTAACTCTTTTAAACTATGTTCTATATTGTGTGTTGTCTTTTATTACAAGTGTATAAGTATTTTTTTTCTTTCAACAGGTTGAAAATGTGTCGTTAAAGGATGTATCATAAGAGGATATACATGACGTAGATTTAACTCAAACTTTAGATATCGGACTTGAATTACGTACACAGGAGTTCCTACAAAAAACCATTGGACACTTATCTTAGTCCTCGGTAGTTGTTGGTTTTGATCCAACACCAACTCCAATGGTCGAAAAGTCACTCCCTAAGCTGACACCCAACACTTCTTCTCAACCTAAAAAGAGGTCATACCGTAAAAAGTCTACCAAGAAAATGCAATGTATGGACAAAGAGATGGAATAAGTAGGAAGAAACTTACTTGACGCTCCTTTTATTTTCTATGAACCAGAAGCTTGGAATAAATTGGAGGAATGGTCAATGATTAAACCGTAAGTACCATGTATTTCTTTTCTTACCCTCTTTACATTGGTAACATTTGTTTTGACAATCCTTAGTACATTTTGTTTGATGTTAAAGGTGCCTGGAACTACGTTTTGGTCCCATCATCTTTAATTATGAAGTCGCAGACATTATCATGGACAAACATAGTTGGCTTCATACGGGGGTAAGTTTAACAATTGTTTGTTCATGCTAATTTGAGAAGTTCTTAATAACTCGTTATTATTTTCAGGAAATGGATGCCCTAATGTACTTATTCAGAGAGAGGACAACTTTGCGCCGATGGAAACCAGACCGAGTTGCTTTCATGAGCTGCTCATTCGGCATTCACATAAAAAAAGCGCACCAACAGTTGAACAAACTCAAGAAAGAATTCAATTTGAGCAGCTTATTGTTAGCTTTCGAAAACGGTGATCTTCCAGCTCATGGAAAAACAGGAAGCAAGTGGGGTATTGACGTCGACCGTATCTACATTCCACTGGATCTCGTTGTGCGTTAATCTCAAACTTAAAACAATAGAGGTCTTCGATTGTGATGGGCATAGACTAATTAAGGAAGTGGAAGAGTTCTCAATCATCATTCCGCGTATTGTGAAAAAAGTTCAGTCACCTGAGGACAAGAAAAATATGAACATTACTCCGTACCAAGTCATCTATGTGCCAATGCTGGATGGAATCAATAGGATCACATGTCATTGCGGAGTGTACGCGTTGAAGTATATAGAATGTCACGCGCTTGGACTCAACTTCTATCTGCTAGATGATGAGAACATCATGGATGCTCGTATTAGGACATCAGTTGATATTTTTGAAGCGGCGAACGATACTGAGTTCATTGAACGTATGTCTAAATACGTACCTCTTGATACGCATGTTGACCATGATGTTGTAGAACTTAGTTGAGATTGAGATATTTTCCAAAATTTGACTATTTTTCAATGTTAACTTTCTTTGAGATATCTAACCTACTTTATCTACATGTTAAAATTTTTACATTCACGAGTTGCTTTTTCTAGTGGAACAAAACCAAAGATATTGAAAGATGACATTGTAGTTGGTTCGTATTTTAGTAGACATAAAAAGAAAAATCATGTCCAACTCAGCCTAGGTGATGGTCGAATCGGGCCAACACGCATAATGGGACATGAAAAAACAGCAAATTAAAAAACAGCAAGATCAGCCCGATCTGGGAACCAACGTGTTCGACCAGGCTAATTCAAAGTAAGTGTATGTGGCAGATTTGTTCGGTTTAAAGACTATACGTGTTCGTTGGAAGAATAAAGACTATACGGTTCAACATACCAACATTAAACAATAAAAGAAAACATCTTATAAAACTCAAAATCAAAATCTCATAAAAAAATATAGTAGACCACAACACAAAAGATATAGTATTTTAAAATCACATATGGTTGGAAGGACTCACACTCCTACTCTATCAATCTTCTCTACTACTTCGAGGAATGTCCATCATCAGCATGTGAACTGCTCGTGTGTGTTGCATCTGATTCACTAGCTTCAATATCGTCTCCTGCAGATTGTGCGTGAGGAACAAAAGAAGGAGGCCGGATGGAAGCTAAAGGCCATAAATGTGCTGCATCATTTCATTGTTGATACTTAACGTGTCAATAATCCACTTCAATGTCTCTGATTATGGCTCTTGTGCAAGCGGAGGAAGCTGAAATCAACTAGGCAATGGAGAGAGTAGATAATCAGGCTGACGGTCAAGCACATGTGGAGTTTCGCCTGCTTTAGTGTCTATACTTGCATTGCGACACCGAACACGGTGTGAATGTTGACAGAGAAGCTCGGGTGCAGGTAGGAACTCCAAATTCTTGTGAGAGTTGAGATGATGAAAATTTGAGATAAAGGAGTAGAAAAGAGGTCGTCCTTCTCTATCTTCAAAGCAATACTTAGAGAATATCTTAAGCGGACCACTCAAGATGTGACAGTGAACCAGATATGCCTCATCAATAAACTTTGCCCATGTAAGTGGTGGCGAGTGTTGAAGATCAATCTTGTGATACTCGAGAATGGGAGTGATCATACCTCTGATGTGAATCTCCTTCTTATACGTGAGGAACTTGGTAGAAAGAATATCTCCATAATTGAAATCATTACCCGATGGGTAAGGCTCACCATTCTCATCAGTCAATAGGTGCTTAACTCCTTCAAACAACATCCAAAGCTCGCCTTCAGTAATTGCAGTAGTTTCAGCCTTGCCACAAAACGTATGGCTAATGACCTTGGCTGCACAACGGAGGACAGGATTCCTGATCATAGTCTGCTTAGCCTTTTTGGAACTATAATTCCCTGCAGCAATCAAATTCCAAAATATACTGGGTTTGTGAATGGTGGAAAAGCAACCATCTCACCTTGGTTGAAACCGTAGATATTGCATAGCTCGTTGAGGCTCATGGAGTAGAACTTCTTGTTAATAATGAAGGAGAGGCATCCTTGACTTGCCACTGGATTCTTTTCATCCTCATATATCACTCTCACAGATGCCAAGAATTCCCTCATATACTTCTCATGTGTATCATGAACCATTAGATGCAAATTACCCAAACCCATGCTCTTGAACAAAGCCTGCATATCTTCCCAAAGCCTATATTCAGTGAAAGTTGGTTCAGAGACAAAACGAGTTGGAACTGTTTTTGTGGTGGCTAAGTCTTTGAGAAATCTAGTGTCAAAAGCATCCCATTCGTTAGAAAAGGGACGCTTTGTAGCTTTGACAACAGTGGAGGAAGAGGCTTTGCTTTTGGCCTTTTGATTGGTTGTGGACGCGATTTTAGATAGTGCATGTGGCTTACGTGCTTCTGGAGCTACTGTAGTTCTCACCATCTCTGCAAAAGAGGAACATCCTTTGTTTCTTAAACATAATTTTTGTTCCAAACATGAGAAAACCATAATTTTGATTTAAAAAATTCAACTCTAAATTCGTCCACAATGGTCACCACCTAAATTATCCTAAAATTGCATATGGAGACACAATATCACATAAAACCGAATCACCAAGCACAAAATTCATCTATTCATCAAGAAACCCAAACTGAAAAGTAGATTATACAAACACATACCTTTGCAGATCGAGTGAGTGAGTGGTGGAATCAAATAAAGGGCGAAAAATTGAGTGGACTAGACCCAAAAATCACTGAAATTGGTGGAGAATCTAGAAAGTTAGGGTTTGTCAAAAAATCTCAAGAACACTCAAAAATCGCGATGGAGGAGAGAAAAAGAGAGGAGAAAATGTTTTTGAAATTAAAAATCAGATAGGGAAACCAAGGATAAATCGTGAAGTTCTGCGAGTAAAAGAAGGATAAATTGGTTTGGTTTTAATGAAATAAACCAATGTAAACCGGAAAAACCAAAATTACAGCAAAAAGGAATTAGATCGAGTTGGCCTGATCAGGCGCGTTAGAATCCAGAACAGGTCAATATCTCTGTTTTTTCTAATGTTTCATCGTGCACGCCAGCAGTTCGATTACCTTGCTGTACAGATCGGGCTAACTTAATTATTTTTTGTTTTTATAATAACTCGAGCCATTCTAATGTTGTCATCGTCCAACAGAGAGAAGTCTAGTCCAATCAGGTGACACTCGATAAATTTTAACGCATACACTCCATAATGACATTTGCTTCGCTTAGGTTTTTATGATAAAGAATCATGATTTGCTTTCTAATGTTAACGAAAATCCTCCGGTTTTGATTGAAAAGAAATCATAGTAAACTATTGTTATTCAGAGAAACAAAGAAGAATCTGAAAGACAAATAATGAAAACATAGTAAACATAGTAAAGCAATAAGCTCGTGCTCCTTGTAAGCCTTCGTTGTGTCCAAAGAAGAATCTGAGAGACGAAGAAGACGTAATACAAGTGAGCATTAGATGGTTTATCCGCTATATAACGAAATTGAAACAAGCATATACAAAGATACCTGCGTAGATGAACCAATGGACTACAATGGCATATCACATGTCGCTCTGTTGTGGCCTTCCCTACGACACCGACCACACCTGTGCTTCTTCATTCCTTGTGATCTTATCTTATCTTCAACCGATTCGAATCTGCGTTTTCTTCGCCTACCTGTAGCTCTTCGTGATAGAGGTGGTAAAACTTGGGCAACTTCAACCTCTGTTGGAACACGCCATGCATCCTCAGGAGCACCTATTGGATTTACKCTTTCGTCATAAACGGATCTCCATGACTCAGTTGTGTACTTTGCATCGGAAAATGAATGTATTTCTCTTCCAACAGATAGTCCTACTTTGATGGCATGTCTGCAAGGAATTTTAACCAAGTCGTACTTTCCACATGAACACGTTCTTTGTAGCAGATCCACAATGCAATCGATCTTGTTGCCAGTGACGTGAAATCGGTCGTCGTTAATCTGGTAAACAATGAATGTTTTACCACCCTGAATCCTTCTTGCAATTTTTTTCTCCACTGCTATGGTTAAAGGGTGGGTATGGTTTGAACTCTGTATTCTACGCTTATGAAACCATCGGGTTAACATTTCTCTGATGCTGTCCAACAACGGAATTACTGGATACTCTCTAGGTCATACCTGAAACCTAGTTTGATGCTGCAGCA